GGGAGAGAAAGTAGAGAGAGAAAGGTGAGTGTAGTTGTATGGATAAAGGCCCTGAAAGGGGCCGAGTTAGTGGTCTGGTTGGTTCTGGCGGCGGACTCTTGCTCGTTCTCGGAGTCCTCGGAGTGTGTGGATCAGAGGCTTCCAGGACCGGCTCAGGTGAAGGCCATCTTCCCTGTTAAAGTTATCAGGATGAAGTTCGATCTCGATGGCTTCCCTGATTAACCGGTCCATGTAGCCGGTTTTTGAGGAGAGGATAGAAGTGTCCTCTAGCTGTATCTTGTGCTCCAAGTTGAAGCGGTGTTCAGCAACCGCAGATTTCTCGGGCTGCCCGAGCCGGATGTGGCGTTCGTGCTCCTTGATCCTGGCCTCAACGGAACGGCCTGTCTGGCCGATGTAGACTTTTCCGCACTCGCAGGGAACTCTGTATACGCCAGGCGTCTTCAGTCCTAGGTCGTCCTTTACCGGCCGGAGAAAACTGGGAATTTTCTTTGGCGGAAGACCAACAGACTTGATGTCGTGCCTGGCCAGCAACCTGCTTATGCGGTTGAAGGTCGTCCCGACGTAGGGCAGGAAGGCAACCGAGGCTGGTTTTTCAGTAGGCGGTGGCAGCCTCGCAGGCGGATTGAGAGCTTTCTGAATCTGACGGTTGCTGTATCCGTTTTTCCTGAAGGTGGTGGGGAGTGCCTCCAGTTCACTCTGTAGGCTGTCGTGGTCGCAAAGGGCTTTAGCCCTGTGTACCAGGGTCGAGAGCACGGCCTGTTTGTTGGACGGGTGGGGATGGGAATTGGAGTTGAGGTAAAGGTCGGTATGGGTTGGTTTCCGGTACACCTTGTGGCCTAATGAGCCGTCAGGTTTCCGGTGAATGTCTATGTCGAGGAATGGGAGATGGCCGTCCTTTTCAGTCTCCATGGTGAACTGGATGCTCTCGTGAATGCTGTTGAGGTGGCTGAGGAACTCCGCGAGCTTGTCAGGGCCGTGGGGCCAGATGACAAACGTGTCGTCTACGTAACGGAACCAGCAGAGGGGCTTGAAGGTCGCCCCGTCCACCGCCATTTCTTCAAAGTTCTCCATGTAGAAATTGGCGATGACAGGTGATAGTGGGGAACCCATAGCCACCCCGTCGGTCTGTTCGTAGAACCGGCCGCCGAACTTGAAATATGAAGAGGTTAGTACCAGGTGGAACAGCCTCAAGACGTCGCCATCGAAGTGCCGTTCCAGGAGACGTAGGGCATCACCAACGGGTACCATGGTGAAGAGGGACACGACATCGAAACTAACCATGATGTCCCCAGGACCCACGCGGAGCGACTTGATAGTATTGATGAATTCGGTGGAGTTCTTCACTATCAAGTCGCCCCGATGACGGAGGCAGTATGACCTCTGAAACGTTGGTTAACATCGACCAGACTACACAGCGCAATAACCCAGAAGACAGAAATCTTCATATTCACCGCTGTGAGAACCTCAAGTCTTACATATATGAATTAACTTATTTTTTGCCACTGATGATGACCTCTTGAGGTAAAAATGCATTTGGCATTAGTGTCCTTCATAGTGTAAACAGTTTTGTTTGTATGCATATTTTATATTCCAATACAATACACTGTATGCAAGGTTTTAAGACTATTGAATGGAGTGTAGATATAATTTAATGTTTCTTGGTACATCTGAGCTGTAGGTAGTGCCATTTTAACATATCTTTGAGTTGTTTTATTTCCTTCAGAAGCAATGAAGTTGCCTTATGAATCAATGCGTTGTTTCTGACCATGGCTAAGGGGTTCAGAATATTGTGTGTATTTTGTATTTTGGTGATAGCATGTGTAGCCCACATAAATAAGAAACTAACCAACTAACTAGATGGCCTATGGAACCTGAAGGTACATCACCAAATTAACCAAAGCCCTCCACCGGACCCTGTCCTGGGCCAACAAAATCCATCAACTCCTATCTTCAATAGATCCAACCTGAGATTATCCTCCCATCTACGTCTAGGTCTCCCAAGAGGTCTCTTCCCCTCAGGCTTCCTGACCAATACCCGGTGAACACCCCATCCATGCATACCACATGACCCGCCCATCTCATTCTTCTTGACTTAATGACCCTGACAAATTTTTAAGCTCATCATTATGCATTAGGCCCAAATATCCTCCTCAACACCCTGTTCTCAAATACCTGTAATCTATGTTTGTCCCTCAGAGTGAGAGACCATGTTTCACATCCATACAAAACAACAGGCAGAATAAAATAAGAAACTAGCAGACATAAATAATTTGTTGCAGAACCTACACACATAAGTTGTGCTGGCCTTTTAGTGTGCCCAGAAGAAAATCCTGGGTCAGGAAAACATGCTGTTCACATTCCATATTTGGGTATATTGGGATAATAAGGGTTAAGATTCTTGCTGAAGGAATGAAAGATACTACACAACAGTGAATTTTTATTAAACAACAAACTATATGAAACATTAAATTGAAACTGTCAGAAACCTTTTGATTGTAAAAACATTTTAGACTATTTGAAAGTGGTTTTCCACATTCCTTCCAGGCAACATTATTTGTATCTCACCTTTCTTCCATTGGACTTAATTAGATTAAAAAAATAAACAATTATCATATTACAGAATTGGAAAGTTGTTGACTACTTAACTGACACCTGAACGTTTGTAAGCACCTGATATCAGCCCCACATCTTGAACCACGTGAATTTATTCATTATCCTCATGGCATATTTCTCTAAGATCCAACTTTATATTATCTTCTTCTACTCCTGAGTCTCCGAATGGTCTCTTATTCTTAGGCATTCCAACCAATATTTTATTTCACTTCCACATGTTTGTTACATGTCTTGTCCATCTCATCCTTGTTTAGCGTATAAAGAAACACATCACAAGTAAATGTGTTTTTCAAATAAAGCAGTATCCAGTACACACCATGAAGGTGCTTATGGGGAATAATGGATTTACAGCTCCTACGCATTCTTGGTGCTAGATTGGGACAAATGGTCAGTGTCAGTCCCTGGCTGCAATTTACTTCTGGGGAAAAGACTGCCAATACCCTTTACTTAGGGGACTGTGTTGGCCCCAGAGCTGTTCTGGACACAGAGTTTAGAAGAAAATTCCTTTGCCCCTGCTGAGAATTGAATCCCAGGTGTCCAGTCTGTAGTCAGTTACTGTAAGGCCTGAGCTACCATGGCTGTCTAATGTGCGTTTATTACTCAACATTTAAGAATGACCAGAAGCTTATAGTAGTTAACAATTAGTTATTAATCAGTACTGATACCATACCTCATTATGCAAAGTACGTTTCATATGCAGACCAGACATCAAGACCTGTGAAGAAAATATACGTAACCTGTCATGACTGTATCCTTAATGAATACAGACTTATATCCTGCAATGTATCTCAGAACACATTTATGCCTTTATGTAAAACTGTGGTTGTTAGTAAATTTGTGAAGAATTACAGATACTAAATTTCATGAGAATCTACTCATTCAATGCAGATTTGTTGCATGTGCAATAAATGAGAGAGGCATGTCATAACTAACAGTTACTGTGTCTAAAAATGGATGATGATTGCAGGTTGCAAAAAAACGCTATATGTGGTATGGGTGTCAACAGTTGCATAATACACTGGCATTATTGAAGGGATTGGCATTGCGGCTTGGACTGCATAACCAGGTATGTTGTCATCCTCTTTCTTGGAAGTTAACATTTGTAGGTCAGGTGTTCAGCATCCACCCTTTAACTTGTAAGAGAGCTTCGTGTTGTGTTTTCTTCTGAACATACGGTGTATTCTTCATGATGTTCTTGGCACTGCTTACTCCTTTAATTATTTAATAGTTGAATAATATAGTGCTCATATTATAGGTATGATGATAAAATATGACATGATTTTACCTTTTTCAGTGAATATCTTGAATCTTAACTAAGCTTAAAATTCACAAATACAGAATGTTAAAAAACCTTTAACTTCTTAAAATAATAATTTCAAGTGTAAAATGGTATATAAGAATGTGTTAAAATTGTTTGTTTTATAATTGGTAAATTGTCGATGCAGTAATAAGGCTATCAGCCTGTGGACCACCATTTGTGCCAGCTTTAATTGCTGTTGGGTGAGATCCTATAGTATCAGGATCGCAGTGTTGCTGTTGTGATGTCTGTTCTTTCTCGGTGTCCTGTGGATGGCTGAGGTATCTTAGTAGTACTGCTAATGTGACTGAAATAGACAGATGTACAGGCAGTTAAGTAACTGGACCTAACTTGGACCAAAGTAGAAGCCACAGATGACAGATGTAAACTCAGGCATTTAGGCCCCCCACATACTGCAAATAGCTTATACCTTTAACATTTAAGGGCAGTCACAACTGAAGGAGGAGGGTATGTGGAGAGTGAGTGGTGGATCATGGATGTAGTAGAATGATGGGTGGACTGGGCAATTAAAGGAAGCAAACTAAGAGAAAGGATGGGGGAACAACAATGAGAAGGACAACTATCAAGGAAAGTCCTTACAAGGACCACAAGTAGACGGAGATGAAGGGATGTGTGCATCATGACCTTGAGGAGAGCCTGCTTATGAGGTTTCCATGACCTACTTAGTGAGAAGATATTCTCCCTGTTCAGCGCTATCATTTCACTGATGATCCAGTCCAGCATCTGGATTTTTTGTCCAGAATACTGGTGTTCTGCAACTGAATGTGATGGTCTAGGTTAGTGGTATTCAACCTGGGGTACGCGAAGACATCTTAAGGGGTACGTGAAATTTAAAAAAATACATAATATTTTATGATAAACACTGAATAATCAGTAACGTAATTTATTTAATTTATTTTAGATGTAGATTATATACTATGTATAACTTGAATTATACACCAACAACTTTGGGGGTACAATGTTGAAGAGAAATTATATCTTGGGGTACGCGAACTAAAAAGGTTGAATACCACTGACCTAGGTTCATGCTGTGTTCAGCCATAGTAGATTTTGATTGTTTCATCATTTCTGTGAGAATAGGGATTGGTCTGCCTGTTTCAGTGATTTTATTCTTAAGAGCAGAAGTGTGTTTTAGTAAGTTCTGTACAACCCAGTCACAAACTCCATCTTCCATGAAAAGTTACAACATAGTACATGTGTACAACAAAGGTTACACAGTTAAAGTCATACAAAATATGATGCAACTGTATAGAAAATGTGTCATAGAAGGAACTAAAGTATGTTAGGTTCAGACATTTGTCATCGTAGGTTGGAAGATTACACAGCCCCTTTGCCTCTCAAGTCTACATTGTATCATGTCTCTTCTGAATGTGCCTGCACTAACACTGGGCTCGTATTAGGCCAGGACTGGTTGGCTAATAACAGGTATGTTCTTTATGGCTAACAGAGACTTGCTGACTGGAGTTGCTGAAGATGCATTTTGTGATCAGTTCTGTATGTCCCAGTGTATAGAGTATCATTGAACCATGATAGTAAGACGGGGATACTGGGAACAACCCGTTCTTCAAGTGCCTGAGCACTGCGGGTCCCAACTTTTTGTTGGCTTGATTTATAGACATTTGGTAGGACTCCTTGGACGAGGGATTGGCCCATCGCAAGGCCTCTGCCTGTACACAGGACAGCACAACACAGAAAAACGCGGACAAACATCCATGACTTGAGTGGGATTCGAATTCACGGTTCCAGTGACCAAGCGGTACAAGGCCCGCGCCTCAGACTGCGCAACTGTGACCCAATATTTTCATTTTCAAAATGTTAGCCATGCTAACATGGCAGCATGGATGCTCTGCTACTGCTAAACATACACGAGTTACATTGTTTTTATAACAAAATTTTACTGTTTTGTGTGATTTAATTTTGAGTTTATTCATGTATTCTTAACAAAAAATGACATTCTCTGGAATTAGATATGACAAATATAATAAATTCTGTGCTTGTCATTTCAGTGGGCTATTCTTTAATAACCTTTAAAGTTGGCATATTTTTATTATTTGACCACTCATTAAATTATGAAGGGTATAAAAAGGTAAGGGCAGTTTGCATGTAAAATCTTGGTAATTTTTTTAGACCACTTTTTTGGATCATGCACACTACATACTGTGCCAAGTCTGGGCATGGCTTGGGGTAGGTATTACATTCAGTGAAGCTTATGTAATCATAATGTAAACATTGAGCAACATGCTGTCATATGATTTTTGTGGTCAGAGGGGGTAAAACCTTCCAAGATTCATAGAGGAATATTAGCAGATTATGGAGGAAAATATTATGCAAAGGAAGGTGTACAAATGGGTGGAATGATTCCAAAGTGGCAGAACAAGTATTGCTGATGAATACTGCCCAAGTCATCTGACCACTTCATGAATGGTAGACAATGTTCAACAAGTTAATCCTTTTGTTCAAGAGGACAGATAGTTTCCTGCCACTAATATAGCCAACAAATCGAACATCAACTGTGGATCTGCATATTCTGTCATCCATGAGTATCATGGATATCAACGAAATTTGTACAAGGTGGGTGTGAACGCAGCTTACAGATGAGTATAAACAGGCTTGCATGGAAAGTGCCTGCATCTTTTGCAGCGATATCATGAAGGAGAGACTTTCCTGCAGTGAATTGTCTCAGGCACTATGAACCTGCAGGCAAACATGAAATCATGAAGTGGAAACATGTCATTGCCCAGGACCAAAAAATTAAAAGGTGTGCCTTTTGCTATCAAAGTAATGTTGACACTGTTTTGGGACTTTAATGAGCTCACCCTTGAGCACTACCAGGTTTGTGAATATATGATGAATGCAGAAGAATGCTGACAAAGTTATATTTTTACATCATGGCAATGCTTGGCATACAGCAGCAGTGACTATTGAAACAATTCAGAAACTAAAATCCAAGAATCTCCATCACCCAGCATACATTCCAGATCGTGCCTCCTCATTACCATATTTTTGGGCTACTCAAAGATACATTATGTAGATGTTGATTTGCAGCTGTTGAAGAGAGGTCAAGGACACAGTGCGTATGTGGCTTCATACATAACTGAAAACATTCTTTGCAGCTGGCATCAGGAAGCTTGTGGATTGAAGTAAGATGTGTGAAGAAGTTGGGGGATTACATCAAAAAATGACAGCTCATTTATTAGCATGTGACTATGTTCACCTGCTTGTATACATTTTTTTTATATGTCTATAGGTACATTCCCTGCAATTGAAGCGGAAGACCAACCTGGGTTGTGTGGTTGCAGGCAGTTGTAATGAGGCAATCACTGACTCCTGGCAGCCTGAATTGGAATGCAGTGATATCATCTTGCAGACACATAGTCTGCTGGACCCATGTGAGCACACCCCACCGCAGCCCAAACTGCGGAATGATGTCTCTGTGGAGAGCTGGGTAAGACTTCAAGGTGGCAGAGGATGTTACATTACTAGACCTGTGTATGGTTGATTGGTTTAGTTTAGTGTCATATGAGTTGTATGATTGTGTCATTTATGTCTTCATTGGGATATTTAACCCTCAGATGCCAACCTTCTTCCCCTTTGGTGATGGTAACCTCATTGCTCTATGTCACTGACATAGTGCATACGGCACTAGCACCTATGATGCATGTTTGATACTGCTTTGATGTCTTTGAAGATGATAGTTTGCCCTTCCTATCGATACATAGGTCTTTATCAGTTTTGCTTCATTTTGCAGTAATCTTAACATGGGAAGAAAAATGTAATCACTTCAATTTGTCTGAGCATGGCAATTCTAATTTCCTTAATAGTTTTGAGAGACATCCTTAAACCTAGATAAAGTTTTGTGCTTCTGTTTTGTACATAGTATCATATAGTGGGAATTCTGTATGCATCTATTAGTTTTTCATTATTTTGTTTTGAAGCACTTATATCTTATTTGGTACTGCCATTATGTGTGAATTTATAATAGTATGAAGACTCTATGATGGTGTATTGGATGCTGAAACTATGTTCCTTTGAATGCTGTATGAATGGCTGCATTGAATAGAAGTCTGAATATTCTGTACTCCTGTCCAATTCATTTGAGTGACAACAAAATTTATGATTTTTGTACAGTTCTGATGACAGTCTCATTGATGATTCATGTGCCAGTGATAGTGATGATAGTTATGTAGACAATTGTGCTGTTTCTGATATACTCAGTGCTGTAAAAACAGATGAATAACTACAAAATCAAGGCATATATCAAGATAATGATTTGAAGAGTATGTGGAAGGCATTTGTCATGGCCTGTTTTAAAGTATTTACCTAACATGTGTTTGGTAGGGCTGAGGAAAATCACAAAAGCAACATAATATGAATGACCCTTTTCTGGGTCAAGATTTGAGTTCAGGTCCTTCTGATGTTAGGCAGTGGTGCTCACCACTGAAAAATGGTCTCAGCCTATAGCATATTTTGGAACAATATCTTTTAATTCATGGTTTTTACCATTACAGTTTTGGAAGTAACATTCTGTGAGACATAAGAAGTCTGTAGTCTGTGATGGACACATTGGTTTGAAACATGTTGTTCAAGTGAACAGAATGTGAAAAGTGATATACAGAAATCAAAGAGACATAAGAAGCTGATGAATTCAAAACAAGTTGTTGTGTTGTCAGTGAAAGATGGCAATCTAGTTAATTGGCTTTGTTACATATTCAGTAATGAACAGGACTAGAAAGGTGTAAACCATACTGAAAACACTTTTTACATGTGTTCTTTGCATTTTTGTATTCTGAATGCTCCTGACATAAAAAATATACCCTATAATGCACATATTATACTGTGTAACATTACCATAAGTATTGTCCATATAAGCATAGCATTAGCTTGCATACAGTGTGAAAATAAATGTATGTTTTTAACATTAGATGTAATCACAAACTGTGCCATTGCAATCCCAAAAATGCATGAACATACATTTTAAATGTAAGATGTCAGGTTCTCATGGCAACATGCATGAAGACTGCTGTCTTCTGGCATCCTATGCCATGTAGTCTGGTAGATAATTGTAGATGCAGGGCCTGATGGTGGAAGTAGTAAGCACCACTTAAGCATCAGTCAATATCTACCAGACTACATTAAATAAACAGCTTTAAGTGCCAACTTTTCAAATCATGTGTTTGTAATGTTTTCTTCAGGTAATATAAATCTACAACATAACACAGTGTGAGTAACTCAATTCTAAAATTTTGTGATGATGGTGCATTGTTGAAGTAAACTGTTTTCTGAATATTATCTATTGTCCAAATACTAAATAAAATCAATAAAAGCCATGACATTTCAGAAATGGGAGTATATCTCCGAAACATCATGATTTTTATTGATTTTATTTAGTATTTGGACAATAGATAATATTCAGAAAAGAGTTTACTTCAACAGTGTGAGTAGCTCTGTGGTATCATATTGGATTCGTATGCAGTCGATCATGGGATCTAGTCTTGGTCAAGTCAGATTGTTTCATGCAGCAACTATGTTGTTTTGCAATGTATAAAGAATTACTATACCAGAGTTGTGTGTTTGTTCAAAGTCTTTTACCATTTATCATTGTTTGAACATATATTAAGTAATGCTACGTCACTATAATCTCACGTGTTCATCCATCTGCCATGTTGCTATTGCTGATTGCTGGAAATAAAAGAGTATGAGTTTAGGGTAGCCTCCATTGGTATAACATCCATACCAAATTTCATATAAACCTGTCTATCAGTTCTTGCATTAATCATGTTCAAAGGACCAGTTTAATAAGCGTTCATTTCTTGCACACATAACGCACAATAACAGCTTGTTGGTGTAGTAGTGTCACACTAAACTTGTGTTCTGCATGTACATTGTTTTAAGATTTGGCTGGGTTATGGGCTATTGTGACGGTTTTTTTCCTTCTTTTCCCCCCCTGCAGTTTTGATCATTCTCTCCTTGCAAATTCTTGGGTAATGCTTTGATATAAGCTGCAGTCATTTCCTTCCACTTCATTACTTACCCATCATTAATGACTATCTTCCCACCTCATTCAGAACTGTTACATGTCATTAAAAAGTCAATAATGCAACATAAACGTAGAGTGTTTGTGCAGATACCTAGGTTGCCTCATGCTGCATTGGCTTTACCTGAAAGTCTGCCATACAGGACAACTTGTGCAGTGGTTAGCATTCTTCTTATATATTGTGAAATTAATCAGTATAGCTTTTTAGCTAAAGATATAATACATGTCAGGGTGTTGGGGAGTAGATTGGTTGCTGTGGCAGACATTTTACATTTGTGAACAGTTCCTAGATTGAGTGTAAAAGCTGGTGCCACCTCAGGGTGTCTAAATTGATCCAGGTTCCCAGTAAATTGTTTTTTACAACAATTAGTTATTTCTTAATAATTATAGAGCATTAATATATGGAATGTGCCATCACAGTGGCCATGTGGTCTGAGGCGTGGGCCTTGTGCCACTTGGTCACTGGGACCGTGGGTTCGAATCACGCTCGAGGCATGGATCTTTGTCCGCATCTTTCTGTGTTCTGCTGTCCTGTGTACAGATAGAGGCCTTGCAATGGGCTGATCACTCATCCAAGGAGTCCTACCAACTGTGTAATAGATCAAAGCCAATGAAAAGTTGGACTCGCAGATGCTGAAGGCACTGAAGAATGGGTCACCTAAGTATCCTAAGTAAGTAATATATGGAATGAGAGTATCTTTCATGTTGCAGGATTCAACTGAGATGGGTGAGAGTTCTCAGACAGATACCACACTTTTCCTGGACAGTTGTGCGGAGCGTTCACTGGGTGTCTTGAGCCAAAGATTTATCATGCTGTTCCTCATCTCTAGCAAGGCAAGTCAGATTTGCTGCATGAGGTCAGTCAGTCAAAGCCTGAGGTGAAGCTTTCTCTGCATGAAACCTTTTCTCTTTTCTCCAAAACTTGTCCTTGAGCCGTGCATCTAGTGTCAGAAGTGAACCACCTTTATTTGATCACACATTAACTTAACATAATAGGTAATAAATTGATGGAACTATGAAGGCAGTAGTTTGGTTCATTTTTAGATGCAAAGCTAATAAAAAGTAATTACATGACAGACTTTGTAATCATCTAACTAATTAGGTGAGTGACTTCCAAACATTTTACTGTAACCTATGAGAAACTCCATGCGAGATACAGGTAATTATGCTGTGAACACAGATAGACTTTTAATATGGTTCAGAAACCTTATATGATAGAGTAAGTAGGGTAGTGAGAAACGTGAACATGGAAGGTTTTATTCAGTGGCAATTAATGAAACCCTTGCAGAGGATAAGTATATTTGTTTCTTTTGCAGTCAGATTTGGTGAATCTTGATTTTGCAACATCAGTTCTACTTAGTAAAAACATGGTGGATAAGAACATAGAAGAAACTGATGTATTGCCATGCTGCCAGCATGCCAATCCTAGTGGACAGTCAGCATCAGGTGGGACCAAAGCTGTGCGGCTTAAGACCAAAGTGAGACGGCTGTACGACATTGCCAACATCTTCACATCAGTTGGCTTGATTTGTAAGGTGCCAGGTGTTGAAAGTAATGTCCGCAAGCCAGCATTTAAATACATTGGACCACAGGTAGAGGCAGCAGTGTTCTCTGACCAAGGTGAGAGCAGTGTCATACTTTGTTTTGTTAATTTATAAGTGTTCACCCTATAACTGTTGTAGAAATGTAGTGGTCAGCACTCATGCTATGTATTCATTTTTATTTCTCAGTTCAGAATCTTGTCATAGTTTTATTTAGTTCTTCCAGGCAGATGCTGAGAATACTACCTTAAAATACACCTCAACCACATTCTTACTAATTTATCATTTACAGTTGCCCTTCCATTTAGTGACGTCTAGTTTTTACACAGTTGAGAAAACATTATTAAATAAACTAAGAATAAACCAAGAGACTGAAGATTACATCAGAATATCAAGCAATTGTTGGTAGGATTTGAGGTTTTCATGGCAGTGAGTTATGGGTTCTTGCTCCATGTCTGGTAGAAATTTACCAATGTTTCAAAGGTCCTTGCTGTATTCATCACTCATTGCCGTGAAGATGGAGGTAGCAAGGACCTCTGAAGCATCAGTAAATTTCTACCAGACTGCACAGTACAACAACCCAGAAGACAGCAATTTTCAAACAATTGTTGCTTACAAGTTTACTGCCATCTATTGGATGATTATCTTAGCTTGTGTTATTGCTTCAGATATTCAACAGTTTCAAGCAACTCGGCACTCCCTGCTGGGCAACGCCTCATACCTGAGGCTGCAGAAGCCGTTGCTGAGTTTTAAAGCCAGCATCAAACACCACAAGAGAAAACAATGTGACTCAGGTGTGATCATGTGTCATAATTGAGTAAGAACAGTGGAGGTGGTGCATACTTTGGGATGCATATTATCCGTATCAGAGATCTATGGGACTGCTGTTAAATGTGTGATTAATTTTTTCACTGATAGTGTCAGAAGTTTTGATGTAAAAGAAATACCAGATAGCCATAGCTATGAGTATTTGATCATCTTCAAATAGTATATTGATGTTCTGCTCTTTGGTAGACTTACATAATGAATCAGTCTTTGTTCCTGTGATTTTGTTTATGAAGAAATTGTGACAGCAACCTTGACTCAGATACCTGTTAATTGCTTCAACTTTTGCACTTGCTTACATCTATTTTTATTCAGATAGTTTCCACGCATCAGTATTTGGACAGAGATTCTCAGAAAAGAAATTCAATAACATTTTTTTACCTCCAACTTTTAGTGACACATTTTTGAGTAAATAGATACAGATATAAGTAACTAATCATGTAATTTGTGCCTTTGCATGTGACCTACCTTGTGATTTACATACTAGTTCATAGTAAAGGCTTCTGAAATAATGGACAAGTGTTACACAATGGAGATTGCTGTGTTCTCTTTGTTATTGAAGTAATTTATTTTATTTTTTAATCTTGACTTTTTCAAACTTCAAAGACAACATAATGATGTACAAAAGGTTATATCTTTATCAACATAACATCCATTAGACTTCAGGATCTCACGGAGGCAAGTGCGATGATTACCATTTTCTTGAATGTTGCACCATGTAGTCTGATAGAAAGTGATCGAAGGTTTGGAGGTGCTTGCTTCTCAGATGTTTGTTAATTTCTATCAGACTGTATGGCACAGCATCTCAACATACCCTTTGTCAATCATAGTAAGTTTGACAATTGAAGGGTGGTGAAGTAGGAGGAGCTATCTTAAAAAATAACTTTGTTGTCTTTGGGGCTCCTGGAAAGATTTTGTGTGTTGTTTTCATAACAGGCAAGTTAGTTCCTATCATTTTATTATGACTCATGTTAAATTAGCAATAATAAGTAGTAGTTTGAAAGTGTGTAACATGTGACATATAGTATGGGGAAAAGAATGGAAAATTATGCTTTGTTCACATATTACTTATCATTTATCACTATTATGCAGTCATAACATTCCTAACCTCAACAAATGTGCAAAATTTACACTTTATGAAAAGTAAAATTAACGTATTTTATGCACCACATTTTTAGAAATAAATTTTTGGCCCAAAAGTTTGTAAATTATACAACTGAAAATGGTGATACCATTACTGCATTTAATTTTCTGCTTCTCAGGAAATATAAATCTCGTGATGTATTGTTATGAAATGGAAATTGTGCAATATTATACTTCCTTGTCACAGGAAGTTGTGAAATGTTTACTCACATTAGAAGTGAGTGTCGGTCGGGACCGAGCAAGAGAAAGGCTTACCATCTTGCTGAAGATGACGGCTCCCTCAGTGACATCTTCCATGTGGCAGAGATAGAACTGAAACGCCTGGAGTCCCTGGAGATGTCAGGCTCTCAGAAGTCAGTGAGAAAGAAGCTGTTCTCAAGGCACCATTCAGAATCATGTATTGTCAGGACAGGTCACCATCCACAGCCAGAACAAGGTATCAGTAATAAAAAATTTGATATCAGTGTGAATGAAGAGTGTTTTGATAGTCTTACGAATGGGGAGTCAGACACTTTTGAAGAAACCATAAAAGCAGAGAAAGTGGCAGGATTACTTCAAAATGTGCCATGCTCAAGGAACGAAATGAAGATGACACGGAAGCTTGTGAAAGTGGGACCACTGAGTATGCAACTCCTTACTAAAGAAAGAAAACAAACTGTGCCGTCCTCAAGAGACAAGGATTGTTCAGTTGTTTACGATGTGAATAGAGCCTCAAATGCTGTTGCAGAGGTGAATCCAGTTACACAAAGCATCCAGTCACCTTCAGTTTCAAACAAGATTGATTTAACAATTTACAATGAAGCTCCATTCATTGATAGCAATATGTCTAAACTGTTCAATTTGAAACTGTTACCGCAGAGTATACAGTCTTCTTCACATTTGAAGGATACTGATGGTGTTCTGAATAGTGTGAGTGAAGCTTCATCAACAAATGTAGGGAACATCATTCCAGAAAAGAAAGGGACTACAGCAATTGAGTTTAAGCTTCCGGTGTTGGCCCAGTGCCATACTGTATCAAGTGACCACGCTAAAATTGTGATGGCCAATAGAGTTGGTAGCGATATATTTGTACCATTACCACCTGTTGTTCCAAAGCCAGTTGGTGTTCCCCCAGGTTCTGTTCAGCAAACTGGTACCAGTAGCAGTGCTGCTGGCATGACACCTGTTGGTAAACTTTACCAGGCCATTCAGGTTGGGAGTGTGGTACAGCTAGTCCCATTGTGCAATAATTCTGTATCACTAATCAATTAGTTATGCTAGACTCAGACATTTGATATGACTACGCTTCAAGTTATGATAGGAATTTAAGTGATTACGGTTGTCATGTAAATGATGGGCATCTACAGCATACAGCCATGCTCATTTTGTATTTTGTGTGACAAAATATGTTACTGAGTGAACAAATGAATTTAAACTGTTTGGGTAATGTACATTGAACATACAACACTGATGCCTTTTACCTGTAACAAAACTTGGGGATGTAAAAATCATACAACACATTTACAAATTAACATAAAATCTTAAGTTAATGTAGGTTTGTTTAGACATGAAGCTTTGTGGGGGGGAGTCATGTCACTCACACAACAGAATGTGGGAGACCTTTCAAAATGTAGTACAGTTTGGTCCATTCATAATCTAATTTTCTAGATCCAGTGGTTCTGAAGTTCTTTCTTATGCTGCACCTCCAGATGCTCAAGGAACCTTCCACCACATATTCGTTCTTTTAAATTAAGATTTATATTATCTTGCCCATTCATTTTAACCCAAACACTTAGCAACCAATGTGCTGTGGTACTGTAATCAGTAAACAAATTAGCATGTAGGTGTTGTTATAATTCTAGTAAATTTGTAGCAATTTGAAATGCATTTGACTGTGGACTTGAACTGCTATCCACATCTGAAACCTGAGATATATGTTTTCTGCAAGGTGTGGCCAAGACTTCCACTCTGGCCATTACGAGCTACCCTTAACAGTTACTCATGCACCAAGTAGTTTTCCCATGATTATACAAATGTATTACTTGGAGCAACGAAGTGCTGTGCCACAGATATGAAGTTTAAGATAAATAATATTTTAAGTTTTAAAGAAGTTTGTTATTCACATTGCAAGTATGAACCAACGGATGTTTTGGTGTTTAACTTTTAAATATTTATTTGGACAGGTTACTTATTATCAAAGTTGCATCAAGTCCTGCAGTATTTGTCATGATAGTATTGTTATTCTTCCTTGAGTCATTTCCACACTTGTAGATTGACTTAGCATACAAGTCTTCAGCTGTCTGTGTGCCCATTTTTTGCATTTCATATACCCTCCTCCAATCTCCTCCTCTCCTCTCATCTCATCTCCACATCCCTCTCAACTTGGTCCATCTATCAAATGCAGGGTGTGCCCTTCGGTTGTCTTCCATTTATCTTTATTTGTAATAATCTTCATTCTCTTAAATGTCCAAACCACTTCATTCTAAACTATTTTAACTAAACAAGATACAGGGGGAAAAAGAAAGAACTAGAGCTTTGAGATTTTGGGTTTCTCATGGCAGTGAAGTTGATGTTCTGGGTCTGGTTACAATGTGGACTTGTAGGTAGATACCAGAATTTTGTAGAAACATACTGTTTCCATCATCAGCTTTGAAGTTGTATCTAAACTGTGAAAGAACCATCAAAAAGGCTACAGTGAACCTGAATATGCATTTTCAAGGAATAATGCCTCAGTAGTATGCTCTTTTTAAATGTCCACACACAGTTACCTGGATGGAATTAAATGTCTAGTTGTTTATCTTCAGGGGTGAAGATGGAAAAGTATGTTTTTTTCCAAAACATTGTTGTCTACCTACAAGTCTACACAGTATTACTACCCAGAACAACAAGATCAACATCTTCACTGCCATGAGAACCCAGAATTTCAAATGTCTAGTTTTATTGTTCTGTACCTTGTTTAGTTACATCATATTTCAATAACTGATTGTGAGGATTTAAGAACACATTACTTACTATTTTAAAACCATTATTTTTGTGCATTTTACTGTTTTAAAATTGAAGATGAAATTGAGCAATAATAATTGTGAAAATTTTCCTAATACCCAGGTTATATGCAACAGGAAATGTGTTTCAGCTGTGAAGTATTTAAACTTGTAACACAGTATGACACATTAGTATACTGTTTAGAATTTATGGAATGTTTACAGTGTGTTATCTTTACTAGGCCTCCCACTCTTAGTGCATACAACACTTCTTTGTGTTATGGGTTGGCATCATATTTTGAAGCAACAGACCTATAGTCATCTGTGCAACAGCCCTTTCACACCTCACAGCATCCAGTCTCAGAGTCGTATCACTGAAAGGAGTTGAATGTTTGAATTCAAGTGATAGATGCAAACTAATCCTTAGAATGGCAGACTGTTCATGTTGAAAGACTTGGCTTCCTGTGCCTGAAATTACTAATGAAAAGCATACATAATACCTCAGTGAGGATAGCTGGCCCCCAGGCTGAGTTTCTGAACTTGAAAATAACCCAGAAGACAGAAATCTTGAAATCTCATGAATGTAAAACAGAAACTGTAACCACTTGATCATGTTTCATAAAATAATGTTCTACACTTAATATTTGAAGGCAGTAAACTGGTGAATCTGGAGTGTTATGATGTGCTAGGATTAAAAGAGTGTTCTATTATCTTGTCATTACTTTCTGTCATGTTATGTTTAATTTTCTGAATTCATTAGTATGTTATTCTAAGTCATGTGTAGTCAGTATCAAATTTATTCAATGCAAACTCTTCAGAATCAGAATAACATGCTGACATTTCTGTCATTTATGTCTGTATTAAGAGAAGGTTTTGCTAGAAGCCAAGGTACTCTTCCTGAAATGCATTTAACCTTGTTACGTTGAAGTTTTGTGTGATGAAGGTGTGTTGTTGTTGTTAAACTGATGCATATTCTTGGACATTTACAGGGGGTACTAAAAGTTTGAAGTTGGCTCTTCTTGGCCAGTTATGATATTGTTTGCTTCTTCACCAATGTGCCAGTAGATGAAGTCTTTCAAGTCATCAGAAGTAATGTCAACATGTATCACATCTTTATTGAGCATTCCATCCTAAAAAATTATAACATTATGGATCTGTTAAATATTTGCATGAGAGCTGCTTATTTTCTGTTTGAAAATAAGTACTATCAACAGAAGGAAGGTGTGGAGTGTGGTTATGGGAAGCCAGTCTCTCCAGTTGTTAGTAATATCTTTATGAACACTGAAAAAGCAGATGCAGACCAACCAAGTGACTCAGACACATTTGTTGTTTGTAAACATGGACCACAAAGGTTACAGGAATTTATTCATTGTATCAGCAGTCTTAGACCCACCATATGATTCACCATGGAAGTGGAAACAATACTGTTCTATTGTTAGATGCCCTTATCACAAGGAGGGGTCCAACATTAGTCAGTAAGGTGTGTAGGAAACCTATTCACATTGGATGCTCTCTGCTTAAGAACTGATCATTCTCTGCTTATAAAAAGAATAGATATTTATTGCTTGAACAACCAAACCAAGGTATGTCAAGAAAGGCATGATTTCATGAACAAATCATATGGTACTCTGTACTCATCATTTAATTGTTATCAAGAAATCAGTGAAAATGGATATTCTGAAGGAATACCTCTTGATAAAATTGCCTTCGCCTATGTGAGGGGCGTATTTAAAAACATTCAATGAATTGAAAACTGTTTTTAAAACTAAATTTACTCTTTGTCAGTTACTGATAATGACTAGACTGGGCAGAGATATTCAAGAAGTGGCAGTGTGTGTAGTGTGATGGGTGCTCTCTTAGTGAAACAAATAGACCTTGGTAGTGCATTTCAGGAAACATAGACACAACCTTAGGTAGGGTCTGATTGAGAAATTCAAAGTGGTTCATCATGCATTTGAGGAAGGCCATCATATTTGTTGTAAAACAGCCAAGGTTTTACAAAACTAACTGAACAGCATATGCTGAAAATGGAAGGGATCATGTCACATGGCCTGTGTGGCTAATCTGATTATTTAACCGGTCTTGATCGCTCCTATTTTAATGTTCATCATTAGTAATGAAGCCAGCAAGTTACAAGTAATTTGATTTAGCAATCTTTTATTAGTTTATCTGTTCTGAACATATCAGTGTCTCGTCTACTGGTCTTCACTTGCACTTATTTTATATGCAGAGATTGATTTTTTTAACCTTTTAATAGGGGTTGATGTGAACATTGGTCTGCTTGATGTATTGTATTTCATCGAGATTTTACCACATTGTAATAATTTGTTGGGTGATTCTTTCAGTGAATGTTGTCTCTTGGAATTTTATTGTAGATCTTTTTCAGATTTTGGATTTGGCCTTGACTCCCCACCTGTTTTATGGTTTTGCTTCTTGGTCTGACATTTTACTACAGTAATAATGATGCTTTGTGGGCATGAGATTAAATTATAATTATCTAGTGATCAATTTCATGGATCTTTGAAGTTTGCAGTTTATGTACCTTGACTAGAACTGCTGTTGTTGTTCAGGGATTGAGAGCATCTCCTTCTAATGGACCCAACATGTTAGCTTTTACTTTACCTGATGATGGTAGCAGAGGAAAAAAAGAAGGATGAAGGAAAATGTCTAAGAACATGCATCAGTAAGTCCATGAGGTCCAAAATGTCAATTTTGGATCATCAATTTACAACTGTGGGTGTAACAAGGAACATAGTAATGCTTGTCCTTGGCTAGAGTTCAGTGTAAAACTTACCGCTTTCTGGGATGAACTGCGTTGCTGTTGAAAATTATCCAAGTCTGAGAAAACTTTGCAGTTTCCATCTTCAGGGTTAATATATTGGTTAAGCATTTGAAGCCTTATATGGAGGATGCAATAGGAGCAAGAATGGGATGTGATGGATCTGACTAGCAGAGTGCGAGAGTGGCCTGTTATCCAATTGGCAATGAGCACATGGTTGACGAAATAGGTGTGAATGCTGTGGCTTAGCATTGAGTTGCTTCTGAGTTCAGCACAGAGTACAAGTGTATTAACTAAAAAGAATCTTATTTGAAGCATCTTGTTGTGTAGCATATTACAAATACAGTGGACATTAATCCATCTACAGCTTTATTAAGCAATTTATGTCTTATTTTTCCTTTCCACTACATGTTTTGATCAATATTTTGACCATCTTCAGGTGGTACAGTTATTTATAAAGTCTAAAATTAAACTGTCACAGGATATCCTTCTTTATTCATCTTTTTCTATGGCTCTCCGGTCCGTATTCGGTCCATGGCCTCCTCAATTCTCGTCTTCCATTCGGTCCTATCCTCCACTGCTCTGTCCGAGGCTTTGATTGAGGTTTCGAAACATCTTTCTTTTTATGGTGCAAGGTTGTTAGCCTTGCGACCAACCCCCAACCTGGAGGACCAGGGTACCTGTCTTAGTCTGACCTCTCCCTCTCGACCAGTCTGGCTAGGGAGGCCCTACCAGTAGCTATGCTACCGCCAGCATAGCTCTTGGGATCACTGAGGTACTCAAGCCCCACCACCACGGCAAGGTGCAGGTACCATTAAGTGGGGATCCTTCTTTATAAATACTGTAATTTTAGGTTTAGTTTTCTGAAGATACCTAAATGGTCAGGATACACTGTACATACTCTACCATCTTTAACAAATGTGTGGAACTATGCGTGTTTGTAAAATTCTTTTGGTCAGTGGTGAAGAACATGGTACAACATCTATAAAAAGTTGATGGAGGCAGATGAATTGTGTTCACCAGACATGAGCTAGTAATGAAACTTGGGCATGGAATTCTGCTACCAGCACCTACTGTGTTATGACAGATCATTTAAATGTGCATTATTAGAAGAGAACTGTGTTTATTCACTATGTGGTTTGAGATTCTCACAGCAGTGAATATGAAGATAGTTGTGTTCTGGGTTGTTGCATTATGTAGTCTGGTAGAAGTTAACTGACATTTTAGAGGTACTTACTGCCTTCATTATCAGGGCACTGAGTCACTCATCATCCTGATGATGGTGGCAGCAAGCACCTCTGCAACATTGCTGAACTTATACCAGACTACATAATTCAAGAACCGAGAAGACTGCCATTTTCATATTTACTTACTGTTTGCAGTTTGGTTGTTGGCATTGTGCAAAAGAGTAGTATTACCAGTTTGGAATATGTGAACCATCTGATTGAAATGGTGATGCTCAGTGGAAGAAGGTATAAATTTGTTTCTGTCATATGGCAGAGACTTCCCTTGCTTTGCTAAATATCACAATTTGAGCCACATTATTCCTGCATTTCTAGAGAAATAGAACAAATGGATAATCATGGCAGGACTTGGAAGATATGATTTGAGTGAAGTTGCAGCTGAGACTGGAAAGAAAGAAAGAAAGAAAGATCATTTTTACAAAATATAATTTTGGATGGTTTAGATGTCCACATGGAAGATTTAGCGTGGGACAGTAATGATGACAAAATCAAATGAGATGGCAATTATGTTAGCAATGAAGCTGAGTATTAGGGACAATATAATTATTTTCATTCTTTTGTGGTTTTATTAGCAATTGCACTTCTTTTTCCAGATTTATAGAGCCAGGCTAGCTACATTAATATGATAGATATATTGCTAATTGTTTTAAGAAACAAAATAAAGAATTTGGGTGAATATCTTATTTAGGGCCATATGGTATTTGGATGAATATGATAATACAATATTTTATAAATATAATACATTTATTTTATGGTTGCTTTTGAACTTTGGTAAGAAAACTTTATGTAGAGAGATAGGTATGTTGCACACATACTGAGGAGTTAAATGGTTCCACTCTTAGAAACTAAATTTGAAATCTGTAAGTCTAAAAAGTTTGTAAAATTTGAATTCTTACTCTTTTGAGGTTGACATTCTAAGCAGCAAAAGTATATACTAAGTAGTTTTATTTCTGTGAGCAATGCAGCAGGTTCTTTTCTAAAAATAACTGATTTGACAAATATTTATTATGCAGGAAAGTATAAAACATTTGTAAAAAAACATAACGAAAAGAATGTTCATTTGATAGCTTGAACCTGGCTTTGCAATGTTGTTCATTGAATTTATATGTTTGAACAGGTCTTTATGGTTCAGAAATCTTTCTTTCTTTCTCTCTCTCTCTCTCTCTCTTTCTTTCTTTCTTTCTTTCTTTTTATCCCATATTGGTAGAAAGAGCTTTCAAAAATTCATATTCTGTTTCAAACATTTGTAAGAACCTGCTTCTCTTCATGGTAATCTGATGGTGTTTCTGCAGGCTGCTGATACATCTCCATATCTGTTGTATTGTTAATACACTATAGAAATACAGTAGCAGCTACAGATTATGAACAAAGTAGGATTTGAAGTTCTCATGGTGGTGAATATGAAGATGGCTGTCTTCCAGGTTCTTCCACTATGTAGTCTGGTATATATATGCTACATGCTCCAGTCCCAATATAAGGAACCTCTGAATTATTTGTGAGGAATTTACTGTAGTTTT